GGGAGGGGAGAGGAATGAGAAAAAAAGAAGAATCAAGATACATCACGTGCAGGTACAAATTCCCTGTGATGAATGTGATCATTATCTATATCTAAAATGTACCAATAAAATTCATTAATTAAAAGAAACCTCACCAGGGATGGAGATGTAGCTCAGTGGTGCTGCTGCCTTCCTCGCAAGCACAAGGTCCTGAGTTCGATCCCCAGTACCGCCAAAAAAAAAAAAAAAAGAAAGAAACCTCACCAAAATGCCTTCTCAAAAGGGAGGCACAATTTCTCAGTTTATTCTGCTGGCTTTGTGTTGTATCCTCGTTGGCTGAGCGCTTACCAGTCCTCTCCAAGGCAGCTCGGATCAGGCTCCTGGAAAGTCAGCTCTTACTCCTTTTTCTCTGAGTGTGGTGCGAAGCCTGGGGACCCTTCAACAACTCTTAATTTTGCACAAGTTCTGAACTAAACAAATTTTTGACCTGCTGCTCTGCCATAGAAGTGACCAACAACCACCAAAACCAGATTTTTTTCCTGGAAAAATGGGCAATCTAAGACAATAAATGAGGGGCCCGAGTCTAGGGAAGAGGGCAGAGATTGGCTTTCAGACTTCCCAAACCGTGTTCTGCTTCAGTCACGAACAGCCTTCAATGATCTGACTGTACTGACAAGGGGAATATCTTGGAGGGAACCTTAATGCTCAGAGACGTGGCTGGAGGTGCTAAGATAGCTCCCTTGCATCCCCAGACCCAGATTCTTGCCCATACGGACAGACGGAAAGCGCCTGAGGGGAAAGGGGCACTCACAGGGATTGGGCTACTTCTTTGGACCCTCTGCACCTTCTGTGGTGTTTGATTTTTTGCTGCTGAGGTTTCTTCTGGGCTTGTGCAACACGACTGTAACTGTGTAAGTGCAACAATAATCAATATCCTCCTCCCTGTTCTCAACATGGGGATCATAGGGCTTTGGTTTTGGCCTTCTCGTCTGTACACCCTCTTTCATTGACTTTTTCCAGGCTTCTGGTTTTGCCTCTTCCCCCTGTTTTGGGCCTGGGACCTGTCTTCAGAACTGCAGACTGGTTTCTCTCACTTCCGGTGTGAATGCAGCTGAACCTCCCGCAGGCACTTCAGACTCAATGTGCTATCTACAAGAGCCACTTTTTAGATTCAAAGACACTGGGAGTTTGGAAGCGTTGGCATCTCTAAGGAGATTCAGCATCCTCGTCAGTGTGGGAGGAGACCGATGGGGAGCAGTCAGTGAGAATGCTCCAGCTCCCGGAGCTGACAGGGAGGGGGCGAGAGGTGGGGAGATGGAGGTGGTGGTGTAGGGATGATGGTGGTGAGGGTGACGGGTGACTTAGGGGAAAGGAAGAAAGGATGATGTTGATGAATTCCAAAAACCCAACTGAAACCAGCTTAAGCACACAAACACACAGAGAAGAAAGAAAAAAAATTCATAATTTTTTTGGCTCAAAGAATTAGGAAGTTGCTTCAGGAATAGCTGGACCCAGTTATACTAACAGTGCTATCTATCAGAGACTGAGTTCCTCCCTAAAGGAGGCTGGGACAAAGGTTTGGGAGCTGGTAGTTTGAGAGTGGCCCTGGAATGGGAATGCAGGAGAGCTAAGAGAAGAAAGCATTAATGAGTTGGCTGGCACTGTGGGAAACTGGAGCTTGATGCCATGGGATCTTCAGGAGGGCCTTAGGGAATTAATTTCAATACTGTCCTTTCAAGGGAACAGAGAGGGGAGAAGTATTGATCTATTTTGGCTTTGTCTCATTTCTCAAGTGTGGCCCTGAGGCTACTAGATGCCCCCCCCCCAACATTTATGGACTGCACATTTGAGTGCTGAGCAAGTTCTACAGGTGTCTCTCAAGGGGGCAGCCTCAGGGTAGAAAGTGAATTCGATGCAGCCTCAGAGGGGTGTAGGTGGAGAACATTGCTGGAGTACACCTATGGGAGGCTGGGCAAAGCCTGCGTGGAACGGATCTCAGGAGCAATGGGCGGAACAAGGGCAGAGACCAAGAGGATTTCAAGGGGCCCATAAAGGTGTCTTATCCCTAACCAGTGTGTCTCATCTCCCCGGCTCTTGCTCTGCACCCTGCCTCTGCTTGCCTCTGTCTGGTTCTCAGACAGGTTTATCCACATGGTGACAAGGCATCCTTAATGGTTATGTGGCCCTTGGAGTTCATCACGGCAGAGAAAGAGACAGACCCTGGCCAATCCATACCTAATGTTTGAAACTGATACCCCTTGTCCCTTCTTAGGCTATGTGCTCAACACTGTGACCTGGACGGCAAAAGATACCTAGTTCTTGCCCTGCTAGAATGCCTTCAAGTTGAATGTGGGGCTATTTGCCAATGGAAGGATGGCTGCTTGTGGCACATGGAGAATTGCTGCTCAGATCCTTCTTCAAGCTTCAAAATAAACTTGCTGACAAGCAAGTTGGGAGTGTGCTTGGCTGACTGCCTCACTTTGGAGCCAAGGGCATGCTCTTCTTAGAGGAGTTCCAGCCAAGGGCTAACTAAGCAGTTCTACAAAGGCCGTGGCTATGTGTGCCCAATGCAAGACTCTTCTAAAGATATCTGCTCAGGTGCTTCCTGTTGGGTCACGTCGGCATCAGAGCCTGGAAGCTTACTCTGCCCAACACTGCTTCCTCTCTTCTCTTTTTCAGGTGTTTTTCTCCAATATACCTGTCTCATCCATAACTCCTCTTGGTGCTGCTTCCTGATGAACCCAACTGGCACACAGGACAGTGAAGAAGTAACCAATGTTCTCTTAGGGGATAAGGGAACTTTAAAAAGTGAAGGAGGGAAGAAAAGAAGGAAGGGAAGAAGAAGTACTTCTAACCACACTCTCTGAAAAAGCCCAGATGCAGTCAGAGCGGCTTCTGCTCATGGAGGCTTTGACCCCATGCAGACTCTCATGTACACCTGCATGAATTTCAGCGGTGACCTTGACATCAGTTGCCATCTACTGACAGGCACATTAGAGAAGGGGAGGCCGCTTCTTCATGTGGGGGTTGGCCTTGCTCAACTGGAGAGCCAAGGTCAGAGGAAGAGTAAAGAAACACATTATTAACTTAGACTTGAGCGTTCTCATTTCTCTGAGACTACTCTGTCTAATGTGTCTCTAAACACCTGGTTTGTGCATCATTAGCCTTACATTTACAAATCGAGAGTGAATTTTATGAGAAGGTGGCACATAAAATTATGGGTCTATAAATGACTGTCATAAGCCAGGCAAGTAAAAGGCATAAATTCCAAGTCAGATGGTATGAAGAAATTGAGCAGAAATTGCTGTTATTTTCACTGGCATGCAAACAAAACTAAACAGAATCCTTTTTCTTCTGTGTGTTCAGGAGTCAGAATGCATTGCCATGGTGACTTCTTGTGCTGACTTGTAAGGGAGCAACATAGACATTTTAGTTCATCAACCTGACTTCTAATCTTGGAGATTTGATATGAATAAAAATAAAAATGTTTTCCTGCAGTTTCTTCATCCTGAAAACCCAGTATGGATCTCCAGCAGGGTCACAAAGATTTTCTCGAGGCATTAAGGGACAAATTAAAGGCAAACACTATTACCATCATGTTTGTAGCTGGATAAATTGAACAAACTACAAGCTACAAGCAACCTTGTAGTTTAAAGAATTGAGCTCTCTTTGTGTTGATTCCTGCTAAATCACAAACTAACAAAGGTGACTAACTTTAGCTTGTATAAAAGCTATACTGATCTTGGTAAGATCCAGAATTATACTAGCATCATCTTAGAGAATTAAGTCTAGAAAGCAATGGTAAACTGTTCCATTATGTTACCTTACTCCCAGAGAAAGGCCATTTCTTTCTTTAGAAGTGGAAAGAATTACTTCATAGCTGTGAGACAGTGTGGGTGCATCCAGGATGGAAGAGTTTACTGATGCAGAGAGCTGCAAGAGCTGAGGTGAGGTGGTGAACTGACAGTTTAGGCAGTGTAAGTTGCCAGGTTTGGGGTTTTCAAGACCAGAAAACCAGTTTTGTTAATGTCATTAGAGACACTGAATTCTTAGGAATTGCTTCAAGCTAGTTAAATACCTAAAAGACTGAGGAGTAACACAGAACACAGATGGAAGCACTACCTTCAAACAGGCTGTAGTATTTACTCTAGCCATCCTGAAGCCTTCTGTCCTTATTCAGACATCTAGAGGCATTGGCTTAGAAATGGGAAGGCTAGGTAGTAGTAGTAAAGTAGAATTGAGACCAGTGGATTGTGCTAAAGGCTACACCATCCAGGACATGATGATGCTGGTAAATCACACAACTCAATAATATTTAGCTTCAAGGAATACAGTATTAAGAGTACAGTGCTGAATCATCAGATTCGGTTCCTGCCTCTTGCTGGATAAACGCTAACATATTTTTCTTCTATTACATGTTTTTTTTCTAGTCTCCAGGTAGACTGGCATCATCCTACTTACAAAAAATAGCCCTTTGAGAGAAAATATGTCACACAATGGAGTAGTTTACAGTTACTTTCTAGACTGCTTCTCTGAGATGATGCAGGTGTAAGTCCGGACATTCCCAAGATTAGGGATAACGTCCTCTTCTTGACAGACTGAACTATCTCACTGTTTTATGAAAGTGTTTGGATCCACACATTAAAATATTAAGGCAACAAACACAAGAAGAGATTTTTTATAGTGTCTTCTATTTTTTGCAAGATAGCACTAAGTAATAATTCCATATTAACAACATTGATTTTTTAAAACTCTCTATTGGTGACGTTTTTGTCTCTCAAATGAGGGAACCGGGGGTGTTCATTCCGAGATGGAGGGCTAGATAAATGGAGGTATGTTGGCAGTGACATTTATTCCACTTGGAACAAAAATGATGGGAGTAGTGGTGTCAGCTCATGCCTTTATTCTCCTCAATGGAAGCAGCAAAGGCTTTTGCCCCCTTTGCTCCAGTGACATCATTAACATAGCGAGTCATAATTTGGGAACAAAGGAAGCTTTCTCTCAGTAATGTTATACTTTTATCTCCACTTCCCTTTCTGCAATATGTCTAAATGATATTTTTGGTTTGAACAAGGGTCTTGTAGCACCTTGCAATGACACATGTCAGTTTAGGAATCCCTTCTTTCCCGGGAGGAAGGAAGATGGGCACCCTGCCAATGACCTAAAGCCCATGTGTGCACAATCCCTAGCTCAGCCGGTGATTTTCCAGAGCAGCGCTGTTCCTCGAGTACCAGATCTCTCCCAGACTCTTTCATCACCCATTTACACACACGCTCCTCCTAACCTCCCAATTTCATCCATGTTATGTGAACATTGCTTGTTTGACTTTCTGCAAACACTTGGATTTTCTTTTGAAGGCAAATATAGTTCATATTTATCAAACTTACAGTTCGCTTCCCTATATTTTCTAGCTTTCTTTGAAGTGAAATGTAGGCCATCTGGCAACTTGTAGTGAGTGAATTGTGTGTAGAGATGGCACATGTTATTTATGGACCAAGGAAGTGGAGAGCTGGTGTACCTCTTCTATCCCTCTCTTTCCCAACAGGGGCAACCTGGAAATTCACACATTGAGATGGCAGCATCATCAGATGGAAGAAACTTGTGTCCCTGAGTCACCAGATGGAGAGGTACTCTGGCCAACTTACATTGGACATCATGTAAGTGAGAATCAAACTTATGTTTAAGCCTTTGGGATTTTTGTTAATGCAGTATAGCTAATCCAATACCAACTATACTTTATGCCCATATACACTGTATTCTCTAGGAACTGATTACAGGTACACTAAAGTTATGGCCATGCCTGACTCAAGTACCTGAAGTATGAGAATAAGCTAACTAGGTGTGGTGGTACATGCCTGTAATCCAGGGAATTTGGGAAGTTGAGGTGAGAGGATTCTGAGTTCAAGGCTAGCTTCAGCAACAGACTGAGGCCCTGCCTCAAACAAACAAAAAACAAAATACAACAACAAAAATCAAACCAGAATAAGAGAGGTTGAAAACATTCTGATTATCCTCCTTCAGCACTCAAATAAGTAAACAAAAGCAAACAAGCATATGAACACTGAAGTTTTTTTTGTGCAAATAGTCTCCTCTTCCAAACTACTCAGAATCTCAGAGGTTAGGTAGTTCATCAATGCAGAACTGGAAAACACTACATCTGCAGGAGATATTTGCAAGATGAGTCAGAGTTTGCCTGAAGATAGTGTTGAGGACTGTCTTTGGTTGCATGGGAATGGAGGTAGAGAAAATTGTGCATTTGCAAAACTTTTCTGCATTCTTCTTCATCTCCTGGCATTCATTCTTTAGCCACTGAGCTAGGTTTGATTATTTTATAGGTTGAGGGTGCACACACCACCATTCTAGAGGAACAATAAATATTTTGAAAAAAGCAAATCAATAATCAGGGTAAATATCAGAGATTTGTTCAACTTCTTTGTTTTTAGTTCAGTGTTTTTAAAAACTTAGCTTAACACTGGGAAAGGGGGCTAGATGTGGATAAAGTTTTTGTCATATCCAGAGATTAGGGGCTCGACATTTCTTTTTTTTAAACACTTTTATATTTTATTGGTGCATTTTAGGGGTACAATATAATGACATTCATCATTGGAAATTTGCACCTTTACATAATCTTTCTTGGTTCTTATTCCCCCCCCCCC